TGACAATAACTTGTGTGTAAGTGTATGGATCTTTCTGAAATTGTACTACAAGGTTCCATATCACAAAGGGAAAGCTGGAATTGAGTTTGGGGGTAATTGCCAAAACGTTTAGGAATTGGGGGCCAAAAAGGGGCCAAAAATAAGCATTTTTCTAGTTTCCAGACAATAACTTGTGTTCAAGTGTATGGATCTCTCTGAAATTGTACTTCAAGGTACCATACCACAAAGGGAAGGCTGGGATTGATGATGGGGGTAATTGCCCTCAATATTTTAGGAACTAGGGGCCAAAAAAGGGCAAAAAACAAGCATTTTTCTAGTTTCAGGACAATAACTTGTGTGTAAGTGTATGGATCTTTCTGAAATTGTACTACAAGGTTCCATATCACAAAGGGAAAGCTGGGTTTGAGTTTGGGGGTAATTGCCTTAGACGTTTAGGAATTTGGACCCAAAAAGGGGAAAAAAACACATTTTTCTAGTTTCCAGACAATAACTTGTGTTCAAGTGTATGGATCTCTCTGAAATTGTACTGCAAAGTGCCATACCACAAAGGGAAGGCTGGGATTGAGTTTAGGGGTGATGAATCATAAGGGGGTTCAAAAAATTTCTGGGGGGGGGATTTTTTTTTTCATTTTTTTTCTTTTTTTCATTCTTTTTTTTTTTTTAAATTTTCCATTTTAAGTTGGTTATTTCTGATTTATATTTAAAAGCAAATAATAATGATATGGTAGGAGATACACACCAAACAGGATGTGTAAATTATTGTGCAATAGCAAGAAATTTTCAATTGCACAGTATTGCACAATAGCAAGAAATCTTCAATTGCACAGTATTGCGCAATAGCAAGAAATATCCAATAGCACAATATTGCGCAATAGCAAGAAATTGTCAATTGTACAGTATTGCGCAATAGCAAGAAATATTTAATTGCACAGTATTGTGCAAAAGAAGATACTTCGTATAAATTGCTTATTTCTTGACCAATTTCAATGGGGTTTTATTCTTGAATTCTTGGGGTTCTTTAATATGCTGAATCTAATCGTGTATTAAGTTTTTGGATTTTGGGCCCCGTTTTTAAATTGGTCCACATTGAGGTTCAAAGGGTCCAAAATTAAACTTTGTTTGATTTCATCAAAAATTGAATTATTGGGGTTCTTTGATATGCCGAATCTAACCGTGTATTTAGATTCTTAATTTTTGGTTCCGTTTTCAAATTGGTCTACATTAAGGTCCAAAGGGTCCTAAATTAAACTTAGTTTGATTTTAACAAAAATTGAATTCTTAGGGTTCTTTGATATGCTGAATCTAAATATGTATTTAGATTTTTGATTATGGGCCCAGTTTTCAAGTTGGTCCAAATCGGGGTCCAAAATTAAACTTTGTTTGCTTTCAACAAAAATTGAATACATGGGGTTCTTTGATATGCTGAATCTAACCATGTATTTAGATTTTTGATTTTTGGGCCCCGTTATCGACTTTGTCCACATTGAGGTCAAAAGGGTCCAAAATTAAACTTTGTTTGATTTCATCAAAAATTGAATTCTTGGGGTTCTTTGATATGCTGAATCTAACCATGTATTTAGATTTTGGATATTGGACCATAATAGGTGAATGTCCAATTTAAAATTTTTAAGTTCTTAGACCACATTCATTCTGTGTCAGAAACCTATGCTGTGTCAAATATTTAATCACAATCCAAATGCAAAGCTGTATCAAGCTTGAATGTTGTGTCCATACTTGCCCCAACTGTTCAGGGTTCGACCTCTGCGGTCGTATCAAGCTGCGCCCTGCGGAGCATTTTATTAAATATTTTTCTCTTGTTATCATATCATGACTAAGCGTAGTAAATGTCTTATCTCAAAATTAAAATTGGAGTGACAGATTTATTTGAAAATTTTCTATTTCCTAAGTGGTGATGATTATAAGCTATATTATTAGACATTTTTAAGTTAATTACATTATTAATTATTATATATGTAATGTTAGAGTACTATGTTAAACCATAGTTCTGTTCAAAATAATAACCCTTCAGATTTGCAAGTATGATTTTTGAATATATAATTAGATCTGGGAAATATCTTAGCATATGATAATCATTTGAGTGACAGATTTATTTGAAAATTTTCTGTTTCCTGATAAGATCTGTAGGACTGTATCTATAAAGTTTGAAATTTACTAGAAGGACTGTATAAATGAAGTTTGAAATTTACTGCTCATTATTAGACATTTTGTAGATAATTAAGTCTCCCTAAACCATATATATTCTTATCCCCCCCTTCAATTTGAGAATGTGCTTTTATCTTGTAAACGGTCGATATCCCCACCCCTAAACCATATATATTCTTGCATGGGACAATAAAACAAATCAAATGAAATAAAAGACGAGTCCCCTGGGGTCACCCCACCCCCTTCTGTTTGAGAACTTGTAAACGGTCGAGATCCCCACCCCTAAACCATATGTATTCTTGTATGGGACAATACAACAAATGAAATGAAATTAAAGGCGAGTCCCCTGGGGTCACCCCAACCCCCTTCTTTTTGAAAACTTGTAAACGGTCGAGATCCCCACACAAAAACCATAAATATTCTCCTATGGGACAATAAAACAAATCAAATGAAATATTGGTGCAGTTCCCGGGTTCACCCCCACCCCCCTTCTTTTTGAAAACTTGTAAACGGTTAAGATTTCGAACCTGTAACCATATATATTCTTGTATGGGACAATACAACAAATCAAATGAAATTAAAGACGAGTCTCCTGGGGTCACCCCAACCCCCTATTTGAGAACTTGTAAACAGTCGAGATCCCCACCCCTAAACCATATATATTCTCGTATGGGACAATAAAACAAATCAAATGAAATATAGGGGAAGTCCAGGGGGTCACCCCCACCCCCTTCTTTTTGAAAACTAGTAAACGGTCAAGATCCCCATCACGAAACCATATATATTCTTGTATGGGACAATAAAACAAATCAAATGAAATAAAAGGCGAGTCCCTTGGGGTCACCCCCACCCCCTCCTGTTTGAGAACTTGTAAACGGTCGAGATCCCCACCCCTAAACCATATATATTCTTGTATGGGTCAAATGAAATATAGGGGAAGTCCATGGGGGTAACCCCCACCCCCTTCTTTTTGATAACTTGTAAACGGTCAAGATCCCCACCCCGAAACCATATATGTTCTTGTATGGGACAATAAAACAAATCAAATGAAATATAGGGGACGTCCACGGGGGTAACCCTCACCCCCCTTCTTTTTGAAAACTTGTAAATGGTCAAGATCCCCACCTCGAAACCATATATATTCTTGTATGGGACAATAAAACAAATCAAATGAAGTAAAAAGCGAGTCTCCTGGAGTCACCCCCACCCCCTCCTGTTTGAGAACTTGTAAACGGTTGAGATCCCCACCCCTAAACCATTTATATTCTTGTATGGGACAATAAAACAAATCAAATGAAATTAGGGGAATTCTCCTGAGGTAACCCCCACCCCCCTTGTTTTTGATATCTTGTAAACGGTCGAGATCCCCACCCTAAACCATTTATATTCTTGTATGGGACAATAAAACAAATCAAATGAAATATAAGACGAGTCCCCTTGGGTCACCCCCACCCCCCTGCTGTTTAAGAACTTGTAAACGGTAGAGCTTTTCATTATTAATAAGATAATACCACATTGAGGTCCAAAGGGTCCTAAATTAACATTTTGTTTAATTTCATCAAAAATTGAAATCTTTGGTTCTTTTATATGCTGATTCTAACAATATTTGAGTGTTAAATCATATCTAATTTTAGAGAACTTAGTCATCACTGGTTGTTGTTATTATATTATTGATTATAATTTGAAAAGTTGCATCATATCTTAGTTTAGAGAACTATTTATCCAGTTTGAGTTATTTCCATTTGCACAGAAAATATTATGGATAAAATTAACCTGTGTTTCATTTCAACATAAATTAAATATATATATAGGGTTCTTTCATATGCTGATTCTAAACTTTATTTAGATATTAGATTTTTAGGCCCAGTTTTCAAGTTGGTCCAAATCAGGGTCCAAAATTAAACTTTGTTTGATTCAACAAAAATTGAATTTATGGGGTTCTTTGAAATGCTGAATCTAACCATGTATTGAGAGATTTCGGATTGTGGACTCCTTTATCAAATTGGTCCACATTGAGGTCCAAAGGGTCCTAGATTAAACTTTTGTCTGATTTCATTAAAAATTGAATTCTTTGGGTTCTTTGATATGCTGATTCTAATATGTACTTAGATTTTGGATATTGGACCATAATAGGTATTTAAATGTCCAATTTCAAATATATCAGTTCTTTGACTACATTCATTTTGTGTCACAAACCTATGATGTGTCAAATATTCAATCACAATCCAAATTCAGAGCTGTTTTAAGTTTAAATGTAGTGTCCATACTTGCTCAACTGTTCAGGGTTCAACCTCTGCAGGAAAATCCGGTTTGCTGTCTCTCTGACAGCCTCTTGTTACTGTATTAAATTAATAAGATGTCACATAAAATTATTAAAGTGGTTGCATTGAAATACCCTGATTTCCCAGTAAAATAAAAACCAATCATTTCACATGTGAAATAATCCAATAATTTCACTCCTCTGACTTCCTACAACAATGGGTGTTGTCTAGACGTTGTTTGTAGATGATATTGCATCAAATGAAATTGAGAATGCATAGAAAAAGATAAAAGTTCCCTGCATTTTCTTCTTTATATCATTTAAAAAGTCAATGGAATTCAAAGAATACCTAATCCATGAATACAAATATCGAAAAATATTCCACTTGTGACTGAAACCACTCTGATAATTAACTTGTGTGTGCATTGATATTTTTTGTATATTTGAATTCATGTTAATCTTTTATTACCAAAGAATTATATACATTGTTAATATATGAGTATAAATTGCATTGTAAAATTGTTTTTCCTTTTGTCTGAACAGATTTGAGCTGAATGATTTATTTTTTATTTTTCAGAGCAAGTTCAGAATCAGAAGAAGAAGGTATGATACCTGTTTCATCTTCCTCTATTAGAGTAATCATATGATAAAATTTGCATCATCAATGCGAAGTAAATTTCTCTTTTTTTGGATAAATATTTCTTAAGGACCGTTTTCACGGTACGATTTTCCATCTGATTTTCCATCAGACTTCATACCGTCGAACAGGTAAATTATACAGGGTTATGTTCACATGATACAATTGTCATTCAGTCATTAAACGACATCTGATTTTAGTTTTCACACGTTGTGTTTTTTGTCGAAACGACATTATAGGTAAAAAAATCTGATGGAAAATTGTATTGTGTAAACCCTCCTTAATGCTTCTCAAAGTGGGGAACACAATTACAATGTGCATATATTACGATATATTACCTGCCTTTGATGGTCCTTTTGATTCTGTTGACAGTTTTGACTTTTCAACTCTTTACACTACACTTCCACACTTCCACACAATCTTATCAAACACAAGTTTTCCTATTTAATCAAATTATTTGCTGCAACTCATTTAAAGTCTTCTTCTCTAATAAGAAAGTTAAATATGCTAGATATAGTTACTGGAGGTGTGATAAGATGATTGATGCTGTTATTTTTCTCCTTGATAATATTTATGTACGTTTTGGCAATAAAGTTTATCGACAGGTTGTAGGTATTCCTTTGGGCACCAATTGCCTCCCTTTAATAGCAGACTTGTTCTTGTACTGTTATGAATCGCAGTTTGTGGCCAGACTCAATAAAGACCCGTCGAATTTGCATTTAATTGATAAATTCAACAACACTTATCGTTATCTTGATGATATTTTTTCGTTAAATAATCAGGAATTTTCTAAATATACTGCTGAAATTTACCCAAAGGAACTAACTTTAAAAAAATCAAATATAAACAGTAATAACTGTCCATTCCTAGATTTAGATATTTCAGTTTTACACGGAAAACTCTACAATTAGATTTACGACCAAAGGGACCAAATTTTCGTTCCCTATTGTTAATTTTCCTGTTTTGGACGGTGATGTTCCTTTGGCGCCATATTACGGTGTTTATATATCACAGCTCGTTCTCTATGCCCGTGTCTGTTGTGACGTTTTGGATTTCAATGAAGGTAATCTATGTATTACTGGCAAACTATTAAGTCAGGGATTTCGTTACCACAGATTACTTAAAACATTTACTTAATTCTCCTACAGATAAAAAGATTTGGTTTGGAAGTTTGGTATTTTTAACGGGATAGCACATCCTTAATTTTGCGGACTTGTTGTTTACAAAGCCCGGAAATTTAGATACGATCCGGGTAAACTTATCGATCCTTTAAATAAACTTATTCTAAAAGGTAACCAAATCAACACTATAATTAGATCTTTGAATATTGTTTTTATTGGTATCAATATTGATTTTGTTTTCAGTAAATTAAAATCAAACTAAATATTATTTTTATATCCATATGCACATTCATGGCTATACAATCTGTCGATACCTGTATCTTGGCATTGCACAAGGTCATGTTTTTCTCTGACTGTTAATGACGTCTGTACACTAAATCCATTGGATGTTGGATGTGTACTGATTGACATTTTAGTCTTAGATGCATGATTTTTATGCCCCCGCCGTAGCGGTGGGGGCATTAAGTTTTACCCTTGTCCGTCTGTATGTACGTCCCAAAATTGGTTTCCGTTCTCTAACTTGAGTTTGCCTCACCCAAATGTTATGAAACTTATACACAATGCTTATTAACCACACAGATCAAGTTTGAATTTGGTTGTGTCACTATAACCGTTCTAGAGTTATGCCCCTTTATAAATGGAAAAATAGCAAAATTTTTAGTTTCCGTTCTCTAACTTAAGTTTGCCTTAACCAAATGTTATAAAACTTATACACAATGCTTATTACCACAAAACACAGATCAAGTTTGAATTTTGGTGGCGTCACTTTAACTGTTCTAGCGTTATGCCCCTTTATAAATGGAAAAATTGCAAAATGTTTAGTTTCCGTTCTCTAACCTAAGTTTGCCTCAACCAAATGTTATGAAACTTGTACACAATACTTATTACCACAAAACACAGATCAAGTTTGAATTTTTGTGGCGTCACTTTAACTGTTCTAGCGTTATGCCCTTTATAAATGGAAAAATTGCAAAATTTGTATTTTCTTCTAAATATGAAGTAATTTTTATACGACCGCAAAAAATTTTTGTGGTCGTATATTGGTATGACGTTGGCGTCGTCGTCGTCATCGTCTGGCGTCGTCCGAAGACACATTGGTTTTCGCACTCTAACTTTAGTTTAAGTGAATGTATCTCAATGAAATTTTACCATAAGGTTAAATACCACAAAAGGAAGGTTGGGATTGATTTTTGGGGGTTATGGTACCAACAGTTAAGGAATTAGGGGCCAAAAAGGGGCCAAAAATAAGCATTTTTGTAACTTCCAGACATAACTTGTGTTTTAGTGTATGGATCTCTCTGACATTGTACCACAAGTTTCCATATCACACAGGAAATGCTGGGATTGATTTTGGGGGTAATTGCCTCAAAATATTAGGAATTAGGGGCCAAAAAAGGGGCAAAAAACAAGCATTTTTCTAGTTTCATGACAATAACTTGTGTGTAAGGGTATGGATCTTTCTGAAATTGTACTACAAGGTTCCATATCACAAAGGGAAGGTTGGGATTGAGTTTGGGGGTAATTGCCCAAAACGTTTAGGAATAAGGGGCCAAAAAGGGGCCAAAAGTAAGCATTTTTCTAGTTTCCAGACAATAACTTGTGTTCAAGTGTATGGATCTCTCTGAAATTGTACTGCAAGGTACCATACCACAAAGGGAAGGCTGGGATTGAGTTTGGGGGTGATGAATCATAAGGGGGTTCAAAAAATTTGGGGGGGGGGATTTTTTTTTTTCCTTTTTTTTCTTTTTTTCCTTTTTTTTTCTTTTAAAATTTTCCATTTTAAGTTGGTTATTTCTGTTTCATATTTAAAAGCAAATAATAATGATATGATAGGAGATACACACCAAACAGGATGTGTAAATTATTATATAATAAGTATTGTGCAATAGCAAGAAATTTTCAATTGCACAGTATTGCACAATAGCAAGAAATCTTCAATTGCACAGTATTGCGCAATAGCAAAAAATCTTCAATTGCACAGTATTGTGCAATAGCATGAAATATCCAGTAGCACAATATTGCGCAATAGCAAGAAATAGTCAATTGTACAGTATTGCGCAATAGCAAGAAATATTCAATTGCACAGTATTGTGCAAAAGAAGATACTTCGTATAAATTGCTTATTTCTTGACCAATTTCAATGGGGTTTTATTCTTGAATTCTTGGGGTTCTTTAATATGCTGATTCTAACCATGTATTAAGTTTTTGGATTTTGGGCCCCGTATATAAATTGGTCCACATTGAGGTCCAATGGGTCCAAAACTAAACTTTGTTTGATTTCATCAAAAATTTAATTATTGGGGGTTCTTTGATATGCCAAATCTAACCGTGTATTTAGATTCTTAATTTTTGGTTCCGTTTTCAAATTGGTCCACATTAAGGTCCAAAGGGTCCAAAATTAAACTTAGTTTGATTTTAACAAAAATTGAATTCTTAGGGTTCTTTGATATGCTGAATCTAAACATGTATTTAGATTTTTGATTATGGGCCCAGTTTTCAAGTTGGTCCAAATTGGGGTCCAAAATTAAACTTTGTTTGATTTCAACAAAAATTGAATATATGGGGTTCTTTGATATGCTGAATCTAACCATGTATTTAGATTTTTGATTTTTGGGCCCCATTATCAACTTTGTCCACATTGAGGTCAAAAGGGTCCAAAATTAAACTTTGTTTGATTTCATCAAAAATTGAATTCTGGGGGTTCTTTGATATGCCGAATCTAACCATGTATTTAGATTTTGGATATTGGACCATAATAGGTGAATGTCCAATTTAAAATTTTTAAGTTCTTAGACCACATTCATTCTGTGTCAGAAACCTATGCTGTGTCAAATATTTAATCACAATCCAAATTCAGAGCTGTATCAAGCTTGAATGTTGTGTCCATACTTGCCCCAACTGTTCAGGGTTCGACCTCTGCGGTCGTATCAAGCTGCGCCCTGCAGAGCATTTTATTAAAATTGGAGTTATCTTCCTTTGTCCATGATTATAGTTGAATCAATTACAATCAATGCTTTATACAATGCAATGTTTAATTTTGACTTCCACTGATAAAACACAGATCAAGTTGAATTTGGGTAGTGTCACTTTAACCATTATTGAGATATGCCCCTTTATAAATCGAAAGATTGCAAAATTTTTAGTTTCCATTCTGTAACTTAAGTTTGCCCCAACCAAACATTATGAAACCTATACACAATATTCATTACCACAAAACTAAGATCAAGTACAATTTTTTTGTTTCCGTTTTCTAACTTTAGTTTGCCTCAACCAAATGTTATGAAACTTATACACAAATGCTTATTACTACATAATACAGATTAAGTACGAAATTTGGTGAGAACACTTTTACCATTCTTGAGTTATGTCCCTTTATAAACATAAAAATTGCTGAATGTTTTGTTTCCGTTCTCTAACTTTAGTTTGTCTCAACCAAATGTTATAAAACTTATACACAACCGTTCTAGAGTTATGCGTGTTTACAAATAGAAAAATTGCTGAATTTTTAGTTTCTGTTCTCTACTTAAGTTAGTCTCAACCAAATGTTATGAGACTTACACACAATGCTTATTACCACAAAACTCAAATCAAGTTCAAATTTGGGTAGCGTCACTTTTACCGTTCTTCAGTTATGTCCCTTTATAACTATATGATATTCAAGCGGGGGCATCATCTGTGTCCACATGTGGACAATATCCACATTTATTTTTATTAGTTGTTATTGGTTTTTAACTAGCTATCAGTAACTCCGAGTACTCTCAGATTTGTACTTAGTGTCTTTGTTGTAGGGATGTATAAGTACCCTGCCACATCCACTCTGTATTTCTACTTTGTATCGATCTGAT